CAGTGTCCCATAAACAGTGGTGGATTGAGTCCTGGAAATTCAATTTCTAAAGGAAGACTGCACTAAGAATTTTTCAAAAGGCTGCACAAATCTTCAGTCAAAAGGGAATGATCTTCAGGCTAAGACCACATGAAATTTGGGGGCCTTGGGTGAATGTGGACAGAACCCATGCAGGCCCAACCAGTGCAGACTCGGAGTGTTTATGAAACACAGCCTTTGAGGAAGCACAGAATGGCACAAACAGAGCGCGGAGAGTTTAAATTTGAATAATAAAGGCGCATAGATGGATAATAACATGCATCATTTTGTACAGGCATTATGGTCATAAAGATCTCATTACGGTCTCTCATGAAATAACCACTTGAAGTCTGTAATGGTCTATAATGCTGAACAAAGTGAAGCTAATGACATATTAGTCTACAAACCTTGTTAAAACTTTCGCTTCAGCTAGTGTGATAATTCACCACTCTTGAGATTAAGAGTGAACCACAGATCATACTCAAATCTGACACTCCTATATAATGCTGAGGGTGTGCTGCATTGTCAGAGGTGCCATCCGTCGGATGAGATGTTAAACCAAGGTCCCGCCTGCCTGTTCAGGTGGACTCTAAAGATCCCATGGCACTATTCAAAAAGAGAAGGGCGAAGTCTCTCCTGACCCAAGTGTAAGGATTATTAAATCAGACTGCAATGAGTGACTTATAATATCCTCTGTGGCTGGGCGAATCTGCAAACTCTGAAAAAATCCTTTCATGAGTTTTTTTTAAAAAATGAACCCACTTGAAAACCTATCGTGTACAGCTGCTGTTCCATTGAAATGTCCCCACCAAAAATTTGATCACTCAGCAAAATAAAAGCATTCACTGGTTAAAATAAAAGCAACTATAAACTGGAAACTTCCCTTGCTTGCCACACAAGGCAGCAATTTATCAAGAGGAGTAAAATTATCAATTAGTATCTGCATCCATCTTGTTCCACACCAGTTTTCAAAAATGATTGGCGACTAGTCTGGTAATGTGGCAGATGGATTGCTCGCTACGTGATCCTAGGCTGACATGTACATACCCAGTACTGACAAACACTCAGATCTGTCACGATCAGTCATGGCTAGTATCATTAGCTCTTGGTGGACCTGCTACACAAAGACCCTTTTGAAATGGACTACTCTTTCTCTAGAAGGAGGGAATGGAAAACAGTCGCAAGTTGCACCTGCTACATGAAGAAGGCAAGTGGCCACTTGGTGAAACAATCAGATATGGAATTACATCGAATGGTACACCCAGAAACACAAAATATTTTTGCGTTTTGCCCACAAAGTACGCAGTCAATTCACTTTACAATATATTCTGTGAAGCACTTTGAGACGTCTCAACGACGTGATAAGGCGCTATATTAAATGCAAGGATTATTATTATTATTATAATAATAAACAGGCCATTCAGCTCAACTAGTCATGCTGGTGTTTATACTCCACAACAGCCTTTACCTCTCCGATTCCCTTCTTCCTCATGGAGGCATCAAACTTCCTTTTCAATACATTAATGTTTTTGCTTCAACCACAGATTCCAACAGTGAGTATCCCCATTCCCGACACGCTCGTGTAAGGAAATCTGAACCTCCCCAATCTTTATTGATAGCTGTAACCGCCCATCCCTGCTTGTAAATCTATGCTGTATTCTCTCCAATGGTACAATATCCTCCCTGAAATATGGAAACTACAACTTAAATGTCATCTGACACCTATCCATCCATTCTGCAAGCCTATTTATGTATTCCTGCATCTTTTTGCAATCCTTTTCGGTATTTACCACACCCCCAATCTATGAATTTTGACACTAATCCTGCTATATCTGAGACTAAATCACATATGTGTATGATGAACAATAGTGGTTCTAATACCCATCTCTGCTGAACACCACTCCCTACTTCTTGTCAGTCTGAGAAGTTGCCCTTTACTCCAGGAGCCAAATTAATTTCTATTTTCAAGGCATCTGTCAATCCATTCTGCTACCTCTCACTTGATTTCACATGTCCCGATTGAGGCTATGAGTCTCATATATAGCACCCTATCAAAGGCCTTATGGAATTCCATATCCACACACCTATGACACTGTATCTGTATACTTTCAAAGAGTTCGATAAGTTTTGTCAAGCATGATCTTCCTTTCATGATCCATGCTGGCTGCGTTTAATTCTCCTCTCCTTCTTCAGATGCTTCCCGGGACAATAACACCAGCAATATTAAAATAATAATTATAATTTTGTTCAGATCTACGAGGATGATATTTATATGAATTGATTTCATAAATCAGCCCTTTTATTTTTACAAAAAATCTGCTTGTTTGTTTCACCTGCCTGGAAAGTAACTAAGAAGAGTTGTCAAAAACTGTGTTAGTTTGGACCTTACTTTAATCAGAAAGTATTGACATCTCTTGATGGAACTAGCAGCACTGAACACCGAACAAGAAAGGAAATCTTGCAGCTGATATAGTTTGAGTCTGTTACCGACAGGGATTATGCATTGCAGTGGAGAAACAGGGGAGAAAACATACACCCAGCAATGGAAACAGGCAATGTACCCCAAAACAAAATGATAAAATTGTACAATAAACCTTGATAACTCAACCCTGGCTTAACTTGTCACTACCATTTAAGTCATCCTGCTGTCAATATCCCAGCCACATTTATTTAAATATTTATACATATGCCTAACTGGCCATTCCGGATAACTAATCACTGAGCCCTTTTCCCTTGGAGTGAGGAGATATCAGGAATTTATGGTATTGCATTCGCAATTTAAAAACGAATGCTGTGTTCTTTTCTCTTCAAAGAGTAAATGTCTTGCTATATGACCTTTAATACTAATTTAATGTCAACCCTTCAGTTCTCCTGCTCTTTTTATGTGCAGTGCCTGCCTGAGCTTCTTTCATTTGCAAGCAATACAAATCACAGTCCCTTCTCACTTATATTATGTAATATAACTGAAGATAGAAACGTATGGATACCAGGAGCCAAATTGCCATTGTAGTTCTGAAGAACAGCACCAAAGGTAAATCTTTCCTTGCTGTAGCATTCAGAATTTAAGATTTGAGGAAACATGAAATATAAGTGAATGGTTGAATGGTTTGTTAAACTATTGTAAGATGTCCTTAAGTACATTTCTGTCCCGTACAAATCAGAGGGGCCAGTGGTTGTAAATCACTGCACCATGGCCTTGTGCTGAAAGGAATTGAAGACCCCAAATTTCTTGTGATCTTAGCTTTAAGATCATTATTTTAACATTTAAGTTCATGAGGCACTTTGGAAAATTCTCAAACTCAGTTTTAATATGTTAGCTGTTCCAAATTCCTTAAGAAGTTATAAGACTGATCCCTTTAGTGATTTTATTTTTACAAAGGCAGTTGGCAACGGGGGATATGAATGGAGGTGCATCCAGTCATTGCCTGCCCAAAATGCTTAGAAGATGATAACATTAGCACTCTCTGTGGAGATGTGCGATCTCTGGGATTTCCCATTGTAGGTGATGCTCTGTGATAACTTTAGAATTTTATGGTGATGTGTATCAATGGGATTTCCTGTAACTGTACTACATCAAAGTGCATTAGACATATAGGTCCAAGCAGCATTGCTCCCTTAAGTGTCTTTAGAGGAAACATTTGCCTGTGATCAGAAGCAAACAGGGTCTAACACAAGCTATTCTCTACTGCGAGTGAACTTCTCATTCTTTCGTTCCCTGGTTTGAAAGAACAGCACATGTTATAGGGTAATCAATATGGAATTTATCTGTAGGTTGCAAACTTCAGATGTTTTCCAACCTGGATCTAAAGCTAGATTTGAACTGAACACTAACCCCTGTTAAGCCTGTGCCTCAATGGTACCTTGTAACTCCAAAGCTGGCAAACAGCTTATTGCAGAACTCAGCATGAGTGGCCGTAACAGCTGTTTGACGTAACCTTATTCCTTTCTGTGATCACATCTCCTGAGGTGTGGACTTTCCTTCTCACATTTCAGAGTAATTTCACTCATTTACTTTTGACCTTCTGGACCCTTCTTTGTTTTTTGTACAAAAAGATGTCAGCTTTGATGGATCTACGAAAGTAAGTTGTTCGTATCAGGGCTTTGCTGTACTTTGAAAAATTCACCTTAATGTACTCACCACTAAGTCTACTTCCTTTCTTTTGGACTTGAGAGACCATGGGTGCCAACAGGTTGATCTTTATTTGACTATTGTGGAGACAGGATTCATATTTCCACACTTCAGAAGCCAAGGGAGCGCCATAAAGATTTGAATAAAATGCACTTTGGATGGCATTAACCTTCTTTTAGATCCATTTGAATGCAGCTCAAATAGAAAACCTATCAGCAATATAAATACCTGTCACAGTAATAACGCTCACAGCAGCACATCACAGCGATGAAAAGGTTAGAGCTGCAGTTGAAAGATGGATTTTACATAGTTTGCTCCTGCTGCAGTTTAAGAAATGACATTACTGGATGATTTGGTGGTGAACTTAGTGCACTAACATCCTGGATCATAAAGGTACCGTTCAGATGTGGTTACTTGACAATCTCAGACTGGTTCGGGGGTGTGGGGGGGGGGTGGGGTGGGGGAGTGGGGAGAGGACCACAGGTAGAGGAAGAGAAAGTAATCTGCTATTAAAAGAGGGCAGGTAGTTAATCCAGGTAAGTCCATTCCAGCAAACATCCATCCTTGCAACAGGTTAGGAAAGGCCTGGGAGCAAGGTGGTTTGATACATCCGAACTGGAGAGTCAAAGTAACTTAGGAGCTGGCCAAAAAGAGGACAACATCACCAGCTGGAAAACAGCGGAACTAATCTTTGGTGCATTATTAACTAAATTGAAACTCGTCCCCTATTTTGGCTGTGTTTGTCTTCTGCCCAGCAATATTTCTTCTCAAGGTTTAAATTAAAGGGGTGAAGTGATGCTTTGATGATCCGGCCCCAGATGTGTAAAAGCGCACAGAGAGATTAGCAACTCACCAGCATCTTTTCAAACAAGGCCATCACCTCTTTCTCTGACAGGGAATCGGAGCGGTGAGGTGAGGGAGCTGGCGTCTCATAGCTGCCAGATAGAGAATAGTACTGTTGTGTCGTGGCCAGCTTTTCCTTCTTGGGTCGACTGGTGAATCTCTCAAGCTGCGGAGGGAAAGACACAATGCATTCTGCTTATAATTTTTTTCGTTCGACTTAAATCAAAGCATGCTTTTGTAACAATTAAATAAATGTCTTTGGTCAGTCTCCCTCCAATTCCTAGGACTCAGAGCAAAAGTGTTCTTAAATTGGCACAGAGAACTGACAATCTCTCTCAGAGAAGCCATGGGAATGATAGTGTGTGGGAAATCGAAGCTGACAGGCTGAAACAGCACAGGTGTTCTTCTGGGTTTTGGAGTTGTGGCACATTACACCTGAAATTAAGACCAGTTTTTGCTATAAGTCAATCTTGTCTTGAAAATTAAGAGTTCGGAACATTTGTAATGATAATAAGAATAATCCATGCATTTGATATAGCTCTATATCATAGTTGAGCACTTCGCAGAATATAATGTAAAGTGAATTGACTGTATATTTTGTGGGGGAAACGTAAATTTAGGCTCGAGTTGAAAGCCTGTTTTCTGCAGTTCTCGAAAACAACCGGCTTCCAAATTAGACTGAATTTTAAGAATTTCCTCCAATTCTGCACAATCTTAGCATTTAAGGATAAATGGTCTTATAGCCTAAAACCAGGTGGAATTTCACTGTGAGGACCTCCAGAGGGATAATAATAATAATCCTTGCATTTGATATTGCGCCTTATCACATCATCGAGATGTCTCAAAGCTCTTCATAGAATATACTGTAAAGTGAATTCACTGTGTATTTTGTGGGATTAGATCAGATGGGCTGAAGGGCCTTCTTCATCCAGACGAATTTTGTGATTTTGTAATCAAAGTACATAAGAATATACACAAGTAACCAAGAAATGCTATTTGACCCATCATTGCTTCTTTGACTCTTGCACATCATAGAAAACCTATTCTACCATTGAACTTCACTTCATTCCTCTATTTCTAGGATGAGATACTGCAACATAGAAGACAAATATAAAGTAAATGCAATATAACTTCCATGAAGAAATCATCTTTCCCCACTATTCAACCCTGGCTATCTTATAATAATAATTTCTTACAATGATATAGCACCTTTCATATCAGATGGATGTCTCAAAGCACTGCACAGGATCTACTACAAAGTGTAGTGACTATTTTCTAAGCAAATGGGGCAGCTAATTTGCACACAGCAATGTCCCACAAACAGCCCTGAATGATTGGCCATTTTGTATCTGGGAGAATATTGGTCAGGACAGTGGGGTAAACTCCCTTCTCTTTTCAAATAATGCCATGGGATATTTAACATACACCTGAAACGGGCAGACCTCGGTTTCATATCTTATTCGAAGAACTGCACCTCTGACATTGCAGTGCATCCCAAGCACCGAGTGTCAGGTTAGACTATGAGCTGAAAACCCGACGTGGGACTCGAAGCCACAATCTTTTGACTCAGAGGCAAGAGTGCTACCAACTGAGCCAGGCTGACAAACAAGAGAGATCTTTGCTTTAAATCTAATGCTGCTAATACTTGACTCGGGTAAGAGAGTCAGTGGTTTGAAATTCTCCAAGGCTTTTGGCCTCTAACCATTATTCTGAAATTTTAAATCGTGCAGAATTCTAGAAAATGTTTGAATTCAGTCTTAATGTGACAGCCTGTTTTCCACAATTTGTTTTAACTGCAGAACAATTTAAGAGTCAATTGAGGACCTTTCCAAAACTCTGCACAATCTTAAATGTTAATGCGTCAGTCTTGAGGCTGAGACTATGAGAAATTTTGGGCTTCTGCACTCGAAGTGGAAAAATATTCTATTTCCCAGTTCTGAATTCCTTCAGTTCGATGGCTCCAAAAATCCAAGAAGAAAAGAAGAATATTAAAAAAAGGTTAGGGATCACTTTGAAAACATGCTGACAACACACGCAGCTCTTTCAACATCAAAGGATCTATATCAGCTCTTTCATGCAATATGTCACACATGAGGTGATGCCTTTTGCTGTGATCATTTTCTTTCCCTTTTTTTGGGGGGGGAGGAGGGGGAGGGGGAATGAAAGACTCAACTAGTTATTAGTTACACTTACCAGTATCTTCTGTTTTTTTAAAAATCACACAAATCACACACGATCTATAATAAACTTCATTAAAGGCTTCCTTTACTCCGAAACCGATAACATCACTTTCTTGCTGAAATGCTTATCTATGTGTACTGATTCCCTTCTACTCACAAGTGGCTACATTTTCTTCCGCAATAATACAATATCAACAAAACCTTGCATTTATATAGGGCCCTTCACGCGGGGTAGCGTCTTAATAAATTAATCCTTACATTTGAGGAGCATGACTCAAAGCACCACAGAGGATATAGGCTAAAGTTTGGTGACCGTTTACTTGAAGGCAAACACAACAGTCTATTTGGGCCCTGCAATGTCCCACAAAAAATCCATGGAGTGAGTGACCAATTTTTATTTGGAGAATGATTGACCAGGACACCAAGAGAAACTCTATTCTCTTTTCAAATAGTATCATGGAGTTGTTTAATTCCATTTGAACAGGCAGACAGGCCCTTGGCTTAACAACACATTTGACAATGCAGGGTTCCCCTAGCACTACATTGCAATGTCAGCTTAATACGCTATATTAGTTCAAAGTCCCAATGTGGGGCTTGAAACCTGAACTTTCTGATCTAGAGAGCTGAGAGTCTACAAACTGAGCCAGGCTGACACCCAATAAAGCTGTTTATTTAAAGTACTTTTCAACTAACAAACTGAATAAATAACATTTTTCAAAAATGTAAAGCATGAACAATGACAAAGCTACTCTCTTTATTCTCCTTCCCAATGGATCAATTCTGTCCTCCTCTGCCATCCCCTTTACAGTTTTCATAATTCAGTCACTAATTCTTGATCTCCTCTTTCTGCCAAACGGTCTGGATATGTCCTCCCATCCCTTCTCTAAATCTGGACCAGAGTGGATGAACGAGGAGACAAGAAAGGTTAATTACTGCAATTATTTCTACATTACTGTAGCTTTCATTGTGGAATTTTTCTCACTTTGCATCTGGCCTCATCATGAACAATGTGAGTCAGTGGCTAAGTGCACTGTTACGATCAGCCACATCAAAAGCCCTCAGTATTTCCAGCAAAGCCTCTTATTAGAAAACCAACTTCCAGCTGCTGTGAAGATGCACTCAGTTAACTTATTTTTGCCATTTATTATTAAGTTATTCTATTGTATTTTAGATGCATCGGTTTGATCTGTATTTTTTGTCAGGGGGATAGGGGGCAAATATACCCAACCAATGAAGTGGTTATAAATGTTATTTCAAAGTTTTGGCCTTATTTATTCAACAAAGATTCCAGTATCACACAGCTATAGTACACCTGATGGGTGTATGATTGGGACAAATCTGAGGTTTTATAACATGTTCCACATATAATCAATATATGTCAGCACAGCTCAGTTGGATGCACTCTTGCCTCTGAGACAGAAGGTTGTGGGTTCAAGCTCCATGTTGGGACTTCATATTGTCTACGCTGACATTCCAATGCAGTGCTACGGACAGAGGTGAAGTGTAGTGAAGTGTAGTTAATGTGTATTCGTACCCTAATGCAGAAGTGAATTTGTGCACAGCAATGACCCACAAACAGCCAAGAAGTGAATAATTAATCTTATTTGGTGCATTGTGAATTCAAAGTCCTGGCCTGGGGCTTGAATTCACAAACTTCTGACTCAGAGGAGAGAGTAATGACTGTTTCAGTAAGCAAATAAGATATACCCACTGTTGGTATATAATGAGATCTGACCTGAGAAAAATTGCCACCCACTGAAGTTTGCATGTTCCACACACTGTTATACCTTAACAGAGGACCTGGGTTCGATTCCCAGACAGGGTGAAACCTCAGGCAAGTTTCCTTACTCCACACGCCTCTGTTTACCCAGCAGTAAGTAGGAACCTGGTTGTTAGTCGGTCACTCAATCCACAACTGTTTGTGGGACACTGCTGTGCACAACTGGCTGCCGCATTTCATTCATAAAATATAGAGTCAATTCACGACACGCTATATTCTGTGAAGCGCTTTGAGACGTCTCAATGACCTGATAGGGCACCGTATCAAATGTAAGGATGATTATTATTATTAAAACCTCAGTGAGTGACATTTCTTCTTTGTTGGTAATAACTGGTGTGGGTAGGTTTTACACTCTGGCTTATAATTAAAAGCCGCCATTAAGAGAAGACTTTCATCCCATTAAACTGGTCTAGATTTCCAAAAGGTAAGATGACCCATTGATCCATCCACAAGGCCTGGCTGTTGGAATATTTGCCATTGCAGTTGTCTGTTTCATGAAAAATATACAATGGTTACAGCCTGACGTAGCTTTGCACATATTTGTGTCATTTGAAATGTTCCCAGAGGACACACTTTCTGCTTTGGACCTTTTATTTTGTTTGCATGTGTACCATGTATCAGAGAATTGCATTATTCATTAAAATAACATCATCTGGGCCAACAGTATTTCTTGGTATCACTGTCTGGGGATCCAAGGTTCTTTTGAGTTTTAACTAGTTCATCTTGCAGCTTTAGTGCCAGTGATTTTAAGTATTATTGTTCCATCCTATACCAAATGAGCAATACAGTTAATATCCTGCTGTTCAACAGTGGGGGGGTTAAAATTAACGCAGACTGATGTAAAGTTTTTGAAGCAGATGGCATTCTGGCTCCCTGTACAATTTGATTCTCTATAAGCTTACCCTATTCCTGATAGGTGCAACAGTAAGATTTAACACCACAGAGTAATATTCAATGGGGACTCAATCAAGACCTACTGACAACCATCTGAGAGATTACCACCATCATTCATCTCCAGACTGTTTTCAAGCTCAACTTCTATAGCAATTTGAGGCAGTGTTTAGTCCGACTACGCCAGCTAGTGCCTGCTTGTATTAGTGCCAGATCAAAGTACACTGACTGGGGCCTTATACAATTCTGCTCAGTGCCAGCTCAATAAAAGGTCTGACCATTTGACTCCTTAATTTAACAAACTAAAGCAACCCA